CCCAAATAGAGCATGTGTGGGATGAAATGGACCGCCGTCTGCGTCGTCTTCCACATCCTCCAGATAACGTCCGTGACTTGGCACAGGATTTGAGAAGGATATGGCAGGCCATTCCCCAGGCCTTCCATGCCATTTGGTGGACTCCATGCGTCGCCGATGCACTGCTGTGATTCACGCACAGGGTGGTCATACCCGTTATTGACTTTGTGACTTTGTCGTATGACCCCCTACTCCATTTTGATCTTCTGACGTCATCGTAACAGATGTTGTTCAGGTCCCGTTGACATTTTCTTATGGTCCGATCATTCAGCTGCTACAGCGTCTGCATCATTTTGTTCTTGATGTGTTGTATTTCAATCCAGAATATATTTTCTCCGTGCACAGTTTCTTTATGTGGCTAGTATAGTTTTCAATATTGGTTGTAAGTAGGGATATGTTTTGTTGGAAAGATGCATGGCTTATTGTACTTTTTGTTTTTGTTTTTCAAAAAGCGTTATTTGTTCAACCGACAAAAGATATTTTTTGATGGTCTTTAATTCTAAGGGGCTAGAATCCCACTGACTCCTAAATTGACTATTGGGTTCAGTATTGTAAGCAATAGTCAACCCTCTTTTTCTGTATTTACCGTGCTCATTTTCCGCCATGTTCACACAAGGATGGGTCATGTACTGTAATCAGAGCTATCTGACATCGTTTTATGCACAAAAAGATTCCGAGGTAGAATAGGTCTTCAGCAACCCATGCTTGCCGTATAAAAGGCGACTATGCGACTATGCTTGTCGTAAAAGGCGACTAACGGGATCGGATGGTCAGGCTCGCCGACTTGCTTGATGCATGTCATTGGTTTCAATTGCGTGGATCGATGCTCCTGATGTCAATCACTGGATTGTCTGGTCAAGACTCGATTATTTACAGACCGCCGTCATATAGCTGGAATATTGCTAAGTGCGGCGTTAAACAACAAACCAACCAACCAACCCACCAACCAACACAAAACACACTCGCTGTCCATTTGAAGGTCTTTTTGTATGTTTGTATGTGACTTTTCCCCTCCCTGTTCTGAAACATCTTTGCATATATAACAGATGATATATATTTTATTTAAGTTTTATTTCTTTGATTCACGTATGCACTAGCGCACACGCTACCCGTATAACCTCATGAAAACAATGGAGCAAATAATCAACGTAAGATATAATAGTGTCTTGAACTTGATGGAACTCTAATATTCAGAGTAAGAAGCAATGCATAACCTAACTATCGTGTCATTTAGGAGAAGTATCATTATTTTGGGGTGAATAATTTATGCTGTAGTGTAATATGATCTGGACAGTAAAGCAATAGAATAATGTGCAATAATTATTTCATGATATTTTCAGGTATTGTGTCCATAGTTATTCACAGTTACAAATCAATATTATGTAACTTGTATACGGTTGAAATGTATTAACAGACACGAGGAAACTTTGATACTGTCGTTGTCACAACAAAATATTCCCTTGACGGCAAACATATAAAATGGGGTTTTCCGACATTGACGAGGTCGGATTGTATTCGGTGAGTCATTATTTAAATCCAGGTAAATGTTTTGAAAGCTTGTACAATTTATTGACATCCTTAAACGGCTGTACAAAATGTTGATATCTCATATAAGAAATAAACAACTCGTGGTCGTGGCCACTTGGAACTGCGCCCCTCAAGGTTTATTCTCCGAGCAGTGTTATATTGTACGATAAACAACTCCCACTCGTCGTTTATTTCTATGTATCTGTATAACCATGTTGCGCTCCAGGGACAATTCTTCCATGAATAGTAAACTAATTGTGAACGGTTCAGTAGAACCACGTGTACTCGTCAGGACTAATGTCGGTTTTATCATGCAAGCCCACTGAGATATCTTGTCGACAACAAGGTACTGTAAGTCCCCATGGTCCCCAGCATGGTGGTCTACCCTCAGTTGCTGACGATCTAGAGCCCGTTTTTACATTGTGTCGTCTGTTATAACCTGATTATTTTATTGTTCTAAAACTAGTTTTACAGTTAGAATCTGTGATATTTTGCTAGTTGTTATACTGACCTTTGACGACAGATGTTAAGATATTATATAAATGCATAACTTGCTCAAGTCACGATATGGCTGAAATAATGCCGATGTGACTTTAAATATTAACTCATTCACTCACTCTTGTCGACAACAAGTACCATCTTTTAACGTTTTTTGGTAAGACGTGGCCCGGCGATCGAACCACAGACCTTCTGCTCTCCAGACAGATGCGGTTTTTTCACTAGACCACGGACCAGTCTCCTATATTACTATATGTTAAGAGCAGATGTAGTATTGTGCCGAGATAACGACGGCAAAGCTAATAAAACACAAGTCAAACTTTGATTCACCTTTATTATAACCTCAATAACCTCTTTGGTTACAATACATAGTGACTCTTTGGTTGATATAAATATTGCTCACATATATATATTTGACGGATATAACGAACTAACTTTTTAGTCCCGACTATTTGCTGTAGTTATGCTGTATATATGTTTATAACGAACTACTTTTATAACGAACTAAAAATATTAGTCCCTTTGAGTTCGTTATAACCGTAGTTTACTGTATCATATTATTGTCTTGTTTCACGGCGACGTATTCAATTCCAGCAGATTGTTTACGATTAAGAAATGATAACGTGTTGGGGAATGTACCCACACGTAACACGTGTTTATAGTTTCACGTCACATCAGCAACCTTTACATTTTACTCCCTATAAGCCACTGTTGAATAAGCCTGATAGCAATTCAATGCAGTGTCGATGAAGTCTTAGTGAACAAATACTCGGTGTACACGGGAAACTTCAATGGTCAGGGTATGTTCAAGTGGGTCTCCTCGCCATATGTTACTAATGATCTCATTGTGGTTGCTACACACTAAGGGGGCACGGGTGGCCCAGTCGTCTAAGGCTGTGCAGAGTTGCGTCTCGTGGGCACGCCAGAAACCTATGATTGTGGGTTCGAGTCCCGGCTCGCCCCGATTATGTTTCTAGGTTTGTCAGCACCATACCCGTGCTCGTGGGTTTCACCGAAGTGGTAAACGTCTGATACCTGCATCACTTCGGGCTTTCCGCCCACATTAAGCTGACACGCCGTGATATAACTGGAATACTGTTAAAAGCGGCGTTAAACCCAACTCACTCACTGCTACACACTAACGAGCCAATGCTGGTAATAAAAAGCAGTTATATTATCGAACCGTTGAAATATGTGCTATTTTTGGTCAATATGGTAATCTTCCATTTGTCTATGACCGAACATTTAGGAGCGTATGAAACATAGGACAAATCTAAACCTTGTCATACACGATTTCAAGGGTAATGAAATCTGTGTCATCTAGGAACAACATTTACGACTATTTCACAGGTTACAAAATACATGAAAACGATGGCCATATTTACACACCTCTGTCATACATGTTCATAGTGACTTGAATGCTCCTTAATTTTATGACGTGCGTAATAAATGTTATTCTCCATTCTCAATGTGCTGCAATAACGCCATGTTTTTTGTTGCCTTTGTTCTGTCCGTCCTCATAGAAATATGAATTGGGTGATGTCGATAGGGATGTTAAGAACATCTCTAGTACAATGAGAGACAGATTGACACAGGAACAAGTTGCAATCTAATTGATGTTCGAAACATTGCTCCTCGCGTGCGGTCTGCACCCTATGATACCGACCGATGTCCCATTGCATTGTACCATTCGTCTCCACTCGCATGTTTCCGTCCGCCATGCGTCGAAATGGCGCAAGCCAAACAGCATGCGCATCAGGATATTGGTACGTACTTCGATCAATATAGTCCCGAGTATTCAATTTTAATTTAGCAATATGCGTTTCACCCCTGGTTGCCCTTCCTTTTCGGGCATACCCTCCTCGGCAAAACCACTAAATGGCCTGGCGGGCCCGTGTGCACATGTTTTTTTTATCAGAGTTCCTGATATTGCACATTGTCCTTTAACCTATGAACATGTGAACCAAATATAACATATGCGTCCTAACAAATACTGACATATATCATGCTTCATAAATCAAGCACTCCGTTCTAACTATATAATCTCTTCGCGTCACCCTCTCTCTGTGACATCTCCAGTTAATAGCCGACTATATTTTGAATTTACAACAAATGACAACTTCATATTAGGTTATGCAAAAATTAAAATAAACGAATTAAGCTTAGTTCACAACGAACACCACATGCATCATATCATATTACATGTCTCTTGTTCCTTTTTATTAGATACACGGCAAAATCCATAACGAGCAATACTTTTTGATTGTTTGTTGTTTAACGCCGCTATGTGACCGCGATCTGTAAATAGTCGAGTTTGGACTAGACAATCCAGTGATTGACATCATGATAATTTATCCAAGCAAGACAATCAAGTGATTGACATCATGAGCATTGGTCCATTCAATTGGGATAGATGACATGGATCAACCAAGTCAGCGAACCGGACCACCCGATCCCGTTAGTCGCCTCTTAAGGCAAGCATTCGTTTCTGAAGACCTGTTCTACACTGGATCTTCACGGGTTTAACAAGTACTTATAACATGTTCTATATGTGTACCATATATAAGTGGTTTCAGCTAGGCATCGTTTTAGCTGCTGAATTCTAAACGGTACTTCATAAATATCTTAGTATCACATCTTTTAACTGCCAATAAAGACAAATACTTGATGCATGAACCTTCTTTATTCTATGATGATGCGACGTTCCGTGTAGATTCTTATACCGTTGTCAAACCTTATACCGACATGTCGCATCATCATAGAATAAAGTTATCATCCTTAAATATATTTACTGGCATTTATAATCTGTGAGATTTTAGTGAAATCTGTAGCATAAATAAAACATAACGGTGTCCACAACATGTTAGCTTCGACAAGATATTTCAGATCAGTTATCGAATTACATGTATTATTACTTTGCTTCCATGAAGGATACCAAGGATGATGCGTGTGCAGATTGTGGACAAGACAGGCGATGCGTGCGCACGGCAGAATGTTTCAAATGTCTCCATGGTGATGTCACAACACCATTAGCTGGTAGTGTAACTTTACATATATTTTTTCTATTATCGCAATTCGCTTGTCGTCAGTTGTCTGATTTATATTATGACAGTCAATAATATCACTAATGATTTAAGTCTTTATCCAAATATGTTGAAGTTTCAGTTGTAGTTGCAACAATATATTGTTTATATGTTACAGGAAATATGTATAATCAGGGAATATGTTTATTCCCTGAAATTTTCAGGGAATATATTTAATGTCTGATTCACTCAGGGAATATAAATAATCCCTAAATTTTTCAGGTATTATACATATTCCCTGATTTAACATCAAGTTTGTTAGACATTTTCCCAGAAATTACTTTTGAGGCTCTTATATGGTCAAACTTGATATAAAAAAACGAGAAGACAAATTTATTTGACATGAGAGTGAAGATGACCTTCTGGCAGTGCTTGCCGCACCTACAACTGAAGAGTCATGTGAGGCAACTGCCATGCCAAGTGAGCCATCTCAAGATTCAAGTGAGACGGCTCCTGAGCCAGCCGAACCACCCCCTGCAATCAGTGTCTCATCTGTTGAGTCAAGTGAAAGTTTCTAGAATCCAGTTCAATAAAGCTACCTTAGCCATTTTGCAGTAGATCCATATCTGGTCCGCATGCTCGACTAACAATGCAATATAAAATCAAATTATTTTGAATTGAGAACTTTAATATGTTTAATGCCGTTCACAACTATTTAAAACCAAGCTGAGCGATCTTATTTTCAGATGTTACACCCAAAGTGTCAAGCAGCTTTTGTATTTTGTCTCTCATATATGGAGGCGAGATTTTCTGTGGTTTCTCTTTTAAGTCTTGGCAAATATGTGGCTACAATGTTGTTACATGTTTGAGTGATAGTGTCCTCCTTAATCGCCATCTTTCTCTCATAACCTAACCTTCGGGAAGACTTGCTTTCATATTAATTAATGTTTGTTAAAAGGTGTAACTTGTATCTAAACACGTGTTCTAAAGGGACCTGTTGCATCCTTTCAGTCGTGGACTGCGGCAATCCTGGTGTTATAATGGACGGTACCTTTAACTACAGCACCACAACTTACAGCTCCCAAGGTCAGATTGTCTGCAACACCGGATACAACTTCTCTCAAGTCAACAACACTATTTCGTGTAGGGCAAACGGTACATGGGACTGAGTATCCGGATCATGTCAGGGTAATTATGAATTATTTTATCATTGTGTTTAGTCAGCGCAGCACGTTGATTTATAATATATATACTGATAAAATAGGCAAAATGTCACGAAGCAACTCAACAGGTATACCAGTTGCCGCGTCAAAATGTGCACAATTTGGTCAGGAACATGCCCCGGCGTATCAGACACACACACACACACACACACACACACACGCACGCACGCACGCACGCACACACACAGACACACACACACACACACACACACACACACACACAGAGACACACACACGCACGCACGCACGCACGCACGCACACACACACACACACACACACACACACACTCGCGCGCGCACACACACACACACACATACACACACCGATCCTCGATCACCGTTTAGGAGGAATCAGCTACAATAAGAATGTCAAAGAACTGCATGATTCTTAGCTCACCTGGTCCGAAGTACCAAGGTGAGCTTATGCCATACCGCGGCGTCCGTCATCCGTCCGCGTCCGTCGTCCGTACGTCAACAATTTATTCAAACGACTTCTTATACTCTTTCTTCTGAACCACTAACAGGAAATGAACGAAATTTGACTGGAAGCATCCCAAGGTGGTGGGGATTCAAAATTGTACAAATGGTGGAGCCTGACCACCCGATCCCGTTAGTCGCCTCTTACGACAAGCACAGTGGCCTTTTACGGCAATCATGGGTTGCTGAAGACCTATTCTACCCCGGAATCTTCACGGGACCATTACCATATGTACAATTTAGAGTATAATGAGAGGGGATTAATAATTGTACAAAAAGGCATGGCGAAAAAGGGGTCATTTGTCTAGATTGCTTTAAACGACTTCTTCTTCTCTGGAACTAAAAGATTTATATAAACCATATTTGGTTGGAAGCATTCTCCAAAGGGGGGGGATTCAAACTGGTAAAATGGAAAGGCTAAACCCCATGGAAACGGTTCAGATCTCTATGCTACATTTGTATCAAGAGAAGTACACGTTCATGCTGTCAGATTTGCCATCCATCCCTTTTAAATGCTGACAGAGTAAAAACCTACAACACATTTGCAGTATTATAAATATCCAGGTGAGCGATATAGACCCTATCGGCCTCTTGTTTTGTGTGTGCTATATGAGTGAAAAAGGACTTAATTGTTAATTATGGACTGTAACAAACAGGAAATCTGCCCATTAACGTCTTTAAAACTGAAATTGTTTAGAGGTGGCATGAAGGTACCACGTCGTCGGACGCACTTGTATGCCGCATAACGTGAGATGCTGCAGGAACAAGCAGGGAAAGCAATATTTTACGTTCTCTTCATGGGGCACCTTTCATCATTCCTCACAGTGCAACAGCGATCGCAATCTGTTTCTTGCTGCCTCACATATAATGCTCTGACCAAGCTTCCGGTGGAGGTTCATGGACTCACCATTTGAACATGAATAATACAACTTCTTGACGGCAATGCGACTAGAAAACAGTGTTTTTGTGTCTGTATGTTAAGAAAGGGAATGTATTTCACAAATTATAATCATACAATTCTTTGACAAGGCACCACACCATCAGTTTTAAGGCTATTGAGTTCATTTATTTATTTATTTTATTTATATTTTCATTTTATTCATTATTTTTTAAATATTTTTTTATATTATTATTATTATTTATTATTTTATTTATTTATTTATTTATTTATTTATTTATTTATTTATTTATTTTTATTATTTTTTTGGGGGGGGGCTTGTAGATTATGAATCCACTCTTAACTCAATACCGACCACGAGGTCCCTTCACCGGTAGCCTTCCCCAAATGTTTATTCTTAACGTTTGGTTATGAGTATATCCTATTTGATTTCGATTTCAATGCTAATGAGAAATGTTGTGATATTCCATTTATCATTTTTTCATATTATATAATTAAGTATTATTATATGATGACACCATGTGTCAATTAGAGGCTGTAGCAACGATGAAGACAGGGTTGACATATGGATTTCACCTTCTCTGTTTCTATGATGTGGTACATGCATTTCGGTATCCGTGTGCGAAATACGCATAATATCGGAAAGCGCACGTTAAATCTCCAATAGTAAGTAAGTATGTAATATTTCGGTACGTGTATCAGTGCACCCGTGAAGATCCGGGGCAAAATAGGTCTTCAGCAACCAATGCTTGCAGTAAAAGTCGACTATGCTTGTCATAAGAGGCGACTAACAGGATCGGGTGGTCAGGCTCGCTGACTTGGTTGATGCATGTCATCGTATCCCAGTTGCGTAGATCGATACTCATGATGTCAATCACTTGATTGTCTGGTCCAGACTCGATTATTTACAGATCGCCGTCAAATAGCTGGAATATTGCTGAATTTGGCGTTAAACAACAAACAAACAAAATAAACACACGTGTACCAGTGCCTTTATCAAGCAAACAAGATGTGAGCTATAGCATCTGTGATGAAACTTCACATTGAAAGAAACAGAAAAAGTTGAAATCCATAACTCAAACATGTCTTTATTGACAAATATAAACTCCGACATTGCAGAAAACAAAATGTGTTTCAGCTTTAAACTGTGGCCCCCCAATGGATATCCCTAATGGCTTCAGCCGCTACAACAGCACAACGTATGGTTCGCTGTGCCATCTGAGTTGTAACCCAGGCTTTACGGGCGTTAACAACACCATAACCTGTGGCGCTGACGGTAACTGGGAAACCATGACTGGCCATGGTTCATGTGATGGTAACGTTTAAAACTTGTAGGCCAACCGTGAAATATAAGTCTTTGAAAATATCATTTTGCCGATAGCTGAAAAGTATTGATGTTTATGATGACAATTTAATGAACATTAAGGCTTACAAGTTGATTAATCTTAAAATACTGGACGAAAAAGCAGTTTTCAGATTCTATAGATCATAGAATGTGTTCTTGTACCAAAGCACATCTGTAGTGTGACCTCTTATTCATGTCCATGTATTTATTGTAAAGGGCGGATCGCTTAGGATTACGTTAGATAGGGTTGGACTGTGTAGTCAGACATAGTTTGTATGCTGTTTGTAACAACATATAATTGATTTCAGAAAAGTGGTATAATTAATTTGAAGTAGCAAATATATGGTCTGGAATGAAATCAATCGTCCAGAGTAAATGAACACAACAAAGCACCCGTCTATACACACTTGGTGCCTTTGAACGCGTACTCAGCTAAAAACGAAGGACACACCAGTTTTCTTTCTTTTTCAAACTTCTCCACATAATTTCACCTTGGTAATAAAGAATACAAGAGTTGTGACGGATAATTCGAAGTTTTGAATTTGTTTGGATTTCAGAAACGTCTTCTTTGGCACAACAATTTGGATCATTAAACCCTTCTTTCACACGACTTCAACATAATGAATCATCCTCGTGCTAAGAAAAAATGTGGGTATTTTTTACAGAAGTGAACTGTGGTTCGCCGACACTTCTACCCTTTGGAACCTTTAACTACAGCTCTACAACTTATGGTTCCCCGAGCCATCTGCTTTGCAACACGGGCTATAGATTTGCTGGCACCAACAACACTATAACCTGTAGAGTTGATGGCACATGGGACCCAATATCCGGATCATGTGACGGTAAGTGCATACGAATCCTATTGTAAGTTTGGTTGAACGCTGCTTTAAACAGTACAGTCAAGTCTCGTTAATCCGACACTCGTTAATCCGACACTCGGCTTTATCCGACACAAATGATGGGAACCGATTGATTCAGCGCAATTTAGTCCCGTTAATCCGACATTCTCGCACTCCGACTCCGACACACCTAATTTGCGACGAATTACCGAAATCACTCATTAATCAGTCTCGTTAATCCGACACAGTGGTCAGCGTACTCCGTGGTCATCTGCCCGCGAGTACACAACCCCGTGTTTTGACACGCACTGGCTGCAGAGATTAACTTTAACAATTAACACTGGATGCCGGGATCATAAAGAATTTCAAGCTTTATTATAAGAAACAAATGAAATTACACCTCGACAATGTTGATGCTGAAGAACCACCAGCCCTAGACGTCAAGCGAACAGGGGACTTTGAGAAATGTGCCTTCAAAATGTGAGAAACAGAAAACACTGACAGACTATTTTAAGTAGATGAAGCAAGTTGTTAAGACAGTAGCACTTGCATTTACACGAGGAAACACACGGTTATTATCTATCGTGAAGATGTCCGATTTTCATTTTAACATGCCGTGTCACTTTAGTTCTTTGAGGGAAGTGACACCAGTCGTGGATGTATTCCTGTTTGGTGAAACCATCAAATGAGTGAGTGAGTGAGTTTGATTTTACGCCGCTTTTAGCAATATTCCAGCAATATCACGGCGGGGGACACCAGAAATGGGCTTCACACATTGTACCCATGTCGGGAATCGAACCCGGGTCTTCGGCGTGACGAGCGAACGCTTTAACCCAAGGCTACCCGACCGCCCCTTGGTGAAGCCAGCGAGCACGGGCATCGCGCTGATAGAGCTTTGGTCGTGATCAAGCCGAATCTGAGATTCAAATCTACGATCCGCGGATTCTGGCAAGGATAAATAATGCACCTCTGTAGAACTGTCCAAAACAAGAGCACATTTTGATTCCTTTTGGATGTGTATGTATATATGTGTTCCTTATTGTACATTATAGCTAAAATGGATAGAGTTATCATTAAACCGCCCGCACGTTATCCGAAATGAGCGGGCCATTGTAACTTGATAATGCCCTCATATTGCTTGACGACGGGCCATTATCAAGTCCGTTGTTAGGTGACGTCATAGGGTAGAGAAAATGAAGTCACGTATTAAAGTGACGTCATCTAGTTTGTTCTATGACGTTTCCATATTTGTAAAATGTGGTCAGTGACATTCGTGTTGATTGCAGTAAATGTTTCAAAACCGATGTTGTTGTTTCTTTTTATTTGATAACAAATTCAATCCATTTTAGCTATAATAACGGTAACGCTATTTTTCAGGGCATTATCATTTGCAGAAGCCCTCGGTCTTTTCAACTGCCCTCCTTCGTCGGGCAGTTAATGGAAAACCTCGAGCTTCTACAAATGATAATGCCCTGAAAAATAGCGTTACCCTTATATTATCGATGAAAATAATGATACATTCATGCGGTATCGGCCCTTCCTAATACGTGCACAAGTGTGCATCATTAGTCTTCTTTACATGTTATCATTAACTCGAACGGACTTAACAATGACAGACAAAAATATGCAAACACCTTGAATGTAAATTATACAAATTAAAAAAATGTTTTGAGAAATAGATGGTAGATGTGTTATAGAAAAGCATCTGCAGTGGTTATTTATAGGGCTGTGATGTTTTAATGACAGGATTAATATCCTGGTTCAAACGAATGGTTTCTTTCAGTTGTGAACTGTGGTTCCCCTGCGCTGATCCGCAACGGCGCCAACAACTGCAGCAGCAGCGCTACAACGTATGGTGCACTGTGCTATCTGGTTTGCAACACCGGCTACACCTTCACTGGCGCTAACGACACTATAAGCTGCACTGATGCTGGTGACTGGGGTACATACTCAGGATCATGTGGTAAGTTATCACCATTATTTCCCCAGGACTCTTCCACAGTTCTATTTGTTGGTTGGTTTGGTTGGTTTGTTGTTTTACGCCGCACTCAGCAATATTCCAGCTATATGACGGCGGTCTGTACATAATCGAGTCTGGACCGGACAATCCAGTGATTGACATCATGAGCATTGATCCACGCAATTGTGATCAATGACATGCATCAATCAAGTCAGCGAGCCTGACCACCCGATCCCGTTAACTGTCTCTTACAACCAGCATAGTCGCCCTTTACGGCAAAATACCTATTCTACAACGGATCTTCACTGGGTCTATAACGTATCGTGATCACAAATCTAATCAATCTTTACAGTGGCCGACTGTGGAACACCGACTGTAGAAAACGCCATCGTGTCATACAACGGCACGATTTACGGTTCAAAGGTCAGGATCACCTGCGTCAACGAAACCTTTCTGTATGACGGTAACGCCTCGGTAGAGTGTAATGAACATGGACAATGGGCAACACTTCCTGTTTGCAGAAAAAGTAAGTATCTGCATATTATTTTATACAATGAAGTTAAACATATTTCAGAGGTCATATTTCCAAATGACAAAGACACCTTTTCTTCAAGCTGTAATCATCAAGTGGCTATTCCGGGGTAGAATGAGCCCACCCAAATCAATCAGATAGCCAGGCTCTATTGACTCTGACAGTGTCCAATCGGGCATGAATCGTTGTTCACGCATTAAGTCAGAAAATCACGCATTGACGGTCTCGAGTGGGAAGTGACTGGTCCTGAGCAGCAAACAGAAAGCCTTCTGTTAAACGTTTCAGGCCAGCCGACATCATCTGCAGGGTTGCTGATCCTCTCAACACACTGGACATAAACTCGATGCAGTGTTCGTTCAGATAGCCTCTCCTTGAAGAACTTAGTCTTGGTCGATTTGATATGGCACTTCGCTTGGTTGACACTCATTTCTGTACCGTCAAGCAGTACAGAACCATCAACAAAATCATGCTTCACAAAGGGTTCATCAGACAAATACATGTGTGCAAAAGTGCACAAAACAATTCTATCATGAAGAACCTCCACAATAATCAAACCACGTGAAAATCCGGGGTAGATTATGTTTTCAGCAACCCATGCTTGCCATAAAAGGCGACTATGCTTGTCGTAAGAGGCGACTAACGGGATCGGTTGGTCAGGCACGCTGACTTGGTTCATGCATGTCATCGTTTTCCAATTGTCATCGCATTCCAATCGATGCTCATAATGTCAATCACCAGATTGTCAGGTCCAGACTCGATTATTTACATATAGCTGGAATACTGCTGAGTGCGGCGTTAAACAACAAACAAAGCAAACAAACAAACCATGCCCTCTCATTATGAGCGACTGAGGGAAGAGGAGGGTGGTGGGATCTATTGTCTGACATGATTCTTAGTGTGAGGGAGTTCATACCCTGAATTTCTTGTTTCGTCCAATCAATAACACCAAAGGAATATGAAAGGACGGCGAAGCGTGGCGAAGACGGTAATAAAATGATCGAGCCACGCCATCATGTCGCGTAAGATACTGTGTTTGTGCCAAAGCTGGGCATCCACTTAAAATATGTTGGACAGTCTCATTCAATTCATTGCATAATCTACATTTCATAAAATTTACATTTTGATGCAAAATTACACATTGACGGTGGTGTCGAGTGGGAAGTGTCTTGGAAGAGTCTGGGCCGGGTTTATTTGGCGCTTTGCTTGATTGACACTCATATCTGTACCGTCCAGCAGTACAGAACCATCAACATCATTATCTAGATTGTATTATTTGTAGTTAACTGTGATAGCCATGGTTTTCTGTGAACACTCTACCTTCTCATTGACAAACGTGAATCCAGAACATATCGACAGTAAGATATTTCAAACAAACGCTTTAATGCTTTTTTTTGCTTTATATCGTTCTCATTTGCATATAAAAACATGACCCTATCGGTGGTAGACGTTCAAAGTAGATATAATAAAAAAGTTGGCAAGAAGTACACCTCACAAAATAATTCATTTCTCTATTGCTCTGATGACCTCGTCTTAGATATTGATTCGAAAATGGTTGTTCTTCAAAGCTTATGCATGGTGTTACTTACTGACATATATTTTTCTTTTAGATGTTGTGTCCTTTGATGACTGGGTTCTTCTGCTTCGTGCGACAGCCGGCAATGGCGTGTCTGTGTATGACATGTGGAATGATAATACGACCTACAACGATCACCCTGTTGTACCCGAAGCCCTCCAACCAGGTTGCATATCTCTGGACACGTCGCTGCCATGTGACACACACTTCAAAAGTAAACTCGTTACAGCTTGGGAAACTTTCAACATACAACAGGTATAATATATCTTCCTGGTGGATCATAACACGATAACCATCACTATCACCGAAAGTGGGGAACTATCACATACCTTGCAGACCATAAGCCGATAATCATCACAATCAACTAAAATGAGAAACTAGTACATACCTCCCTTGGTATCAAAGGTTGTGTGTGTGTGTGTGTGTGTGTGTGAGAGAGAGAGAGAGAGAGAGAGAGAGAGAGAGAGAGAGAGCATGGGGCGATATAGCAAGGTGACAGCAGATTCTGAACAAAGGCAACCATGGTGAAACCTATGAGTGTTGTCAGAGACTATAATCAGGTCGAATCTGGCATCAGAGCTTGTGATGAGCCTGCATGCCGGGTAGCAGTAGTTTGTTGTTGTTTTGTTGTTTAACGCCGCACTCAGCAATATTCTAATTATATAACGACGGTCTGAACATCATCGCGTCTGGACCAGACAATCCAGTGACTGACATTATGAGCATCGGTCCACGCAATGAGGCTACGATGACAAGCATCAACCAAGTCAGCAGACGGGTAGCAGTAGGAACATGTGCAATATTCCAGTTATATGACGATTCTCTGTAAACAATCCAGACAATCTAGTACTAAGTCAGCAAGCCGGACCACCCGATCCCGTTAGTCGCCCCTCGCGACAAGCATAGTCGCCTTTCTCTGAATACCTATTCTACCCCATATCTTCACGGATAGGGTTGTAGTTGTAGCAGCAGTATCAGTAGGAGTGACCGCGCTGCAGCAGCAGTGTTAGTAGTAGTAGTAGTAGTAGTAGAAGTAGTAACAGTATCAGTGGCAGCAGCAGCAGTGTTAGTAGTAGTAGTAACAGTAGTAGTAGTAGTAGTATCAGTAGTAGTAGTAGTAGTAGAAGTATCAGTAGTAGTAGTAGAATCAGTAGTAGTAGTAGTAGGTGTAGTAGTAGTAGTATCAGTTGTAGTAGTTGTAGTAGTAGTATCAGTAGTAGTAGCAGTGGCAGCAGCAGTGTTAGTAGTAGTAGTAGTAGTAGTAGTAGAAGTAGTAACAGTAGCAGTGGCAACAGCAGCAGTGGTAGTAGTAGTAGTAGTAGTAGTAGTAGTAGTAGCAGTGGCAGCAGCAGTGTTAGTAGTAGTAGTAGTAGTAGTAGTAGAAGTAGTAACAGTAGCAGTGGCAACAGCAGCAGTGATAGTAGTAGTAGTAGTAGAAGTAGCAGTGGCAGCAGCAGTGTTAGTAGTAGTAGTAGTAGCAGTGGCAGCAGCAGCAGCAGTGTTAGTAGTAGTAGTAGTAGTAGTATCGGTAGTGAGGTGAGGTGAAATGGGGTTTAACGTCGCGTCCAAGATATAGCGACGTGCATGTACGTGTGTGTCTGCTTGTACTAGTCCGGACTGATGCCGATTTATAGTGCTAGCTCACTGAAATACCATGCCTCAGTTTAACATGAATACTCCACTCAGACACAGTTTACTGACTCCAAGCCGACCAGTCCTTGTTTTACCCCCTTAATGCCGAGCGCCAGACAGGGTAACAACAAGTACCATCTTTTAACGTCTTTTGGTATGACGCGGTCGGGGATCGAACCCCGGACCTTCCGCTCTCCGGGCGGACGCTCTACCACTAGACCACGGAGGCGGTCAGTATCAGAAGTAGTAGTAGTAGTAGTAGTAGTAACAGTAGCAGTGGCAACAGCAGCAGTAGTGGCAGTAGTAGTAGTACCAGTAGCAGTAGCAGTGGCAGCAGTGTTAGTAGTAGTAGTAGTAGTAGTAGTAGTAGTAGTAGTAGTAGTAGTAGTAGTAACAGTAGCAGTGGCAGCAGCAGTGTTATCAACAGCAGCAGTAGTAGTAGTACTAGTAGTAGTAGTAGCTATGTTAGTACACTATTTCTGAAGTAATTTAATATATTTTATGATTTTATAGATCAAAGTCGTGATTCTTAAAGCAAACGAAGTGAAAGCAGAGATTCTGTTTAACGGCGAGGGGACAACACGGACCAGCTGGTTCTCAATAACTCAAATGATCAACTCAACCTGGACAGATCTCAACGATGAAGCGACGTTTAATTACTTCAGTATTCCAGGGTGAGACTTGTATTAACGATTAACTTGTATTCCTGTTCAACATGTCACCTTTTACATATATTTATCATAAAACTGTACACCTCCATTAACTACTAATCATTGTCTGCTTTGCATTTTTCTTTATTCTTTACCCATCAACGGTACATCCATATTTCCATTGCCACAAATTATATCAGTTTTATTCTGGTGTGGTATATTTGTCATAACTGTGCTTACTATCTTGTCAGTTAACGGAATGGAGAAATAGGATAATCAGAGATAGATAGAGACTTTTTTCTTAACAGGTGTTTTTTGCTTGATTTTGTGTTTTTGTTTCTACCCTGTCAATATGGGTCTCTTAAAAGTTAGCGAACATACTGAAATTGTTTCAGAAAGGTCAATATCGTCCAGTACAATTTATAATAACCATAGTTCTGGTGGTTGACGAACATAAACAGTGAGTGAGTGAGTGAGTGAGTATGGTTCTACGCCGCTTTTTAGCAATATTCCAGTATTATCACGGCGGGGGACACCAGAAATGGGCTTCACACATTGTACCCATGTCGGGAATCGAACCCGGGTCGTCGGCGTGACGAGCGAACGCTTTAACCACTAGGCTACCCGACCGCCCCCAAACATAAACATAAATGTAGGTACATTATTTCCCAAATATGGAAACATAATGTAGTATTATTTCATGATTTATGACACTGAGATAAAAAAAAATGTTTACCTTGTTTAAATTTTGTTGTTGAATTCTGGGATTAAAATATTTGGTTTTGAAAAAGTAAATGCTTCTGAATGTAAAATGTCACTTAGCCTTAAATCTAGGACAAATCATGTACAAATCCATAATGACTGCGTGAGATACATAATGTGCTGCTACTGCACGGTTACATAAGGGCAATAACATACTGGATATTGTTGTTTGGGCGTTCATTTTATTTTTGTTCATGGCGAAGCTTGTGTGGTTGGCTTTTAAAACGTATGTTCTGTATTCACAGACTTGGAGGACATCATCGGCGATTTTATATAAACAATCTCTTCAATGGATGTCCAGGAGATATAGGTTGGATGCTGATTAAAGATAAAGCTATCAACAGCCCCTGTGATTGGGAGAAGACGACTACCCCGACTATCTTGTTCAGTAAAGCCTCGACCGCTACATTGTCTACAGGTAAATCTCATTTAGAGATCAGGGGAGGTCGGGTAGCCTAGTGGTTAAAGTGTTCGCTCGTCATGCCGAAGACCCGGGTTCGATTCCCAACATGGGTACAATCTGGTGTCCCCCGCCGTGATATTGCTAGAATATTGCTAAAAGCGGCGTAAAACCATACTCACTCACTGGATATATCATCTATCTACAGGTTGAGCTCATTAAGGCAAGAGTAGGCTGATGTTCTTGATGGTTTGAATTGGGTAAATCAAATAACACTTTCCTTGCCTGCAGACTCTAGATAAGTCTTCCAATAAATGCTCGCATAATTACTGAGACAAATGTCTTAAATGTTCATCAAGGCACAAACGATAATGTATAGACCTAAAGTGAAAACACAAAACAGTCTCTTGGGGCCTAGTCTCCCATAACGAGTGTTCAAGTTTTACAGGGTAATATTAAAGTTCGATTCATTGTTAGCTTGTTTAGTACGACTCTTAACTTTTGTTTGTTGTTTAACGCCGCACTGAGTAATATTCCAGCTATATGACGGCGGTCTGAATATTATTGAGTCCGAACCAGACAATCCAGTGATTGACATCATGCGCATCGATCCGCGCAACTGGGATACGCTGACATGCATCAACCAAGTCAGCGATCCAGACCACCCGATTCCGTTAGTAGCCTCATACGACAAGCATGGGTTTTTGAAGACCAGTTCTAACCCGGAATCTTCAAATAACTACATTACCAAAATGTGGATAAAACGTTAATACTTGAGACATTCTTTAACCAAATGGTTGCAAAAGTATTCATTTAGACAATTCCCTGAACTTCTGAAGTGCAAAAGCTCTTTCCAAAAGTCCACATGTCCATAAATGGACATTAATGCACTCGTTGTTTGAGGTAATTCACTTGAAGTTTGAGGTTAAGTTGTTGATTATCGGAAACAAAACTTAACATTGTTTGACATTACGAAGGAAAAAAGTAAAATCAACACTAAGAAGGAAAGCTTACGAAAAAATGGAAGGTTCACTTAATTATGCCCAAATAATTCTGACGTGTAACAACACGCAGATGAATTTACGTATGCATGAGAAACCAGCCTACTCTCGCGACCAGGAGATTTAATACCTGCTGTATACATTAGATGTTTCTAAGCTGAAAACCAAAAAACATTAGGGGTTTTTCGGAGACATATTTTTATGAAATCCTGTGCTCAGTCTTCACTACAAGAATATATAATATATAAATATCCCATAATAACTTTTTTTGTGTTCAGAAAATGCAACCTTTGAAGAAAAATGTCATCGAATGTTCCAGATTGGGAATCGGCGGATGTGATGGCAGTACTGGCACAGCTAGGATCTCACGATTAAAGGAAGGATCTCAACATGCCTTTTTCCCGCACCTATCCATCTATGGTGTCATACATCTGGATGTTGTGGTATCTGGCAAAACTCACAACTCCTTGTCCCAACATCCTTGAAGTTCTATGCCTGTTTTATCTGTATTATTATCCCCCGCCGTGAAGTGAAATGGGGTTATAGGAATGGGTGCTGTCCGTCCGGTCCTTCCGTCCGTCACCTTTCCTTTCCGGGGAAGAACTCGAACTATCTAACACATGATATTTTTTTCTAATTTGAACTTTACACGATATACGGCTTTTCAATTAGACGAGAGATCGGTCACATGACCGCCAAATAGACGTTCATTATTCACGACACAATTTGGCTGACGGACTACTTCTACATTCCTGGGGAAACCCCTGGGAATTCCCTTGCATGATTCATACAGAAGCGTTCTTTCTGATCATTTAGACCCTTTAATCTTAAACTCAGCGTCTCAGTATACATTGAGCAACGTCAGTGAGTTTGACTGCATGATCGTTTACGAATATCCTCGCTACGACCGAACCTTAGTGAACAAAATGAAGAAATGCACATCCACACTATCGAAGTGTCGACTCGATTCGTGTCTAGGCTGACAGTGACAGTCTACAGCAATCTATGAATTTACCTCAGTGTCTAATTTACACTTCTTTAATCACTTTTCAATGATCGACCAGTTGATCAATGGTGACTAAATCATGTAACCGCCACAGGTTCATTAACAACTTACGAAATCTCTCCTGTCACGTTTATCGTGTCGGCCATTTTGACGTCTTGTGGTAGTACTTGATGTAAATGTATTACGACGCGCTGTCATTGTGACTGACTCACTGAGGTAGTTCTTATAAGATATTTCTCATCTTATGAGGATATTATTTGTGTGACAGGATCAGATAGTTGTATATATTTTTGAGAGTTTTATTAGTCTAGATTTTTACTGAATTAAATATTCAGTCAAATATGTTTTAAACATTATATACTTCACACTTCAGCTCTCCTAATTCCCTGTTTCAGCTTACTGCATGAGTACTTTGTCACAGCCTCAATCACCTAGTGCACTTTCACACAATAGCCTGCCCAAGCGCGCCCATCAAAGCCCCTTTGTGTTTAACGTTTTAGCTTACTGTCTCTAGTATAAAGGGTTTAGTTTTTACTACAGTATAGATCACATTTGATGTTACTGTCGAACGCACATATCACGTATATTGGATATTTTGCAATTCACAATTTGGACTAATTGTGGTGTTTGATTTGTGGACTTTGGAATTCACTTCTAAAGGTTGGTCTTTTGATGATATTTTATTGTTTGTACGTATTCCTAGGATTTGTAGGTATATTGTGTTTATGCTGTTGATAATTTGGCTGTTTTTTGTCATGTTGTAAATATTAGCCAGATCATAGTAACTAGTTGTGATTCTGAATGCATTACAAGTGTTATTATTTACGTAAGGTAAATAATTAAGTAAGCGCTAAGTTTAGGCCTAAAATATTTTTTAACTAAATCTTCAATCACTGTGAAGCTGATGTATGAAAGTATGAAATATGAAAGTAAGAATGTGAAACATATGTGTTGCTAGGTTACATATTTGTATAAATGAATGTGTAATGTATGAATGTATAATGTATGAATGAATCAGGGTTTTACTATGATATTTTAGAAATGTTTTAAGTTACTCTGCAATAACACTATGTTTCGGTTTGTAGTAATATTGCTGCTATCAGATTGGTCTGCACAGTGTGTATATATATATTCATTTATTTGTCGTGCAGATGTAGCTGTATTACTTGTGCAGAGGTCTGTGTCTGGACTGATGAACCCAGGTCCACACACTTGGTGGGTTTACTAGGTTTTATATATATTTCTCATATATTGTATATTGTATGTGCACATGATAGTTAATGTATCATGTCACGTTTATGTCACTCTATTTATATGATACGCATATATAAGTATATATGCGGGTTAAGTAGCTTTATAATCTAGGGTTAATTAAGTCTTGATGAGATGTAAGTTTATCAATTAGGAGATATAGCATTTTGTATATATCATCAAATGTAATGAAATATTTGATGTCAGCATATGTTTATATTTTGTGTAATGAATGTTTTACAATTGTTTCAGGGTTCAAAAACATTTATCAGTAATAAACTTGGCTATAACTTCGAACAACACCTGTGTCTGTCCTTCATGTCAAGAAGCAGTCCCGGTTTCATTTGAATACATTTGTTGTAAAGAAACTACAAATGTTGTTCCTGTCGAGCATGTTGAGCAAACATACGTTCATGTCACCTCTCAATTGAGGAACTATTTTATTCCGCGTTACAGCTGGTTGTTGTATGGCTGTCAGTGTAAACATGAAGTCACACGTACAAAGTAATGCGTATAGATCTAGATCCTTTGAGGTACAAAATAGTGACCGCAAGCTCCGACGTTCATACAGTTTGGTCCTCACTCTATGAAGGTTCGTACTCCAATGAACTCACACAAAGTGAAAGTCAATTCTTAATTGAACTGGAGCCTTTCGATGTTTTGGCATTCATAAAAAACAAAACTTGCGTGCGTGTTCCCTTGGCAACAAACTGGACTTAGTCTCAAGTACGTGTAGCATTCGTTTCCGGAGCATAACTCGGAAAACATTGTACATTATTTTTTTAAACTTTGCATATGTATCAAACACATACTTGACTGGTGCCTTTATATGTTTTAATAATAATATATATGGTCAACATCTAAGCACATTGCATGCTTACTCCACTTACTCCATGCACAATGCATGCTCTAAACAACATACAATCACAATAAGAAATGTTATTCTTGAAAAGCGATCAGGAACCGATGAGTTTTAAGACGAGATTTGAAAAGAGTGAAAAGCTTGGTGTCTCAGTTGTTGGTTCATTTGTTGTTTAACGCCGCACTCAGCAATATTTCAGCTATATGACGGCGGTCTGTAAATAATCGAGCCTGGACCAGACAATCCAGTGATATCATGAGCATCGATCCACGCAATTGGGATCGATGACATTGCATCAACCATGACGACCCTGACCACCCGATCCCGTTAGTAGCCTCTTGGGACAAGCATAGTCGCCTTTTACGGCAAGCATTGGTTGCTGAAGACCTATTCTACCCCGGATCTTCACGGGTCTTCAAATATTTAGCACTCTCTGATAAGTGGGGCAGTTCACACTAACTATGTGTCCGAACACTGTTGAGTAAAATTATCCCCTCAAAAATTGATTATTTTAAGAATTATATAAAATTATAAAGAAATTATTAATCTGTTCTTGCATCGTTAATAGCAGGAATAACAAATGTTCGAGATGAAGGCTCCGCCTATCATCGTATAGACAACAGATGGTGCCGAACTTTGTCTTATGAACCAGTCCCCTCGGTAAGTGTGAATGAGTCGGATTTTAAAGCCACCTTGAACAGTATTTCCGTTTTTCACGGGCGCAATGCTGCACAGCGAATTGCGACGCCTCAGCCGATTGGCCACCCCAGTAATGCTCTCCGTGACTGCGACCATTCTTCAATATTTGATGTCAAAGGCCGTGTAAATATTACCATTTGAAACGTTGGCATTTCGTTGGGTATCCTGGTTCCTACATGTCAAAAATAAATTAAATAATATCTTCAATGGATTCATGTCGTTAGTATATTACTATTTTGTTGAGTGTGTGAGTATGGTTTTACGCCGCTTTTAGCAGTATTCCAGCCATATCACGGCGGGGGACACCGGAAATGGGCTTCACACATTTTACCCATGTCGGGAATCGAACCCGGGTCTTCGGCGTGACGAGCGAACGCATTAACAACTAGGCTACCCGACCGCCCCTCAAGATTCAAGAACTCGCTTTTATGAATTCAAATAAGAGTGGGGAAAAACGCCGTTTCAAACAGTATTTTCAGCACTTATAGCATATCCTCTTGAAATCTGCGTTTCAGACCTTTGGGGATTTGGAGAAACCCACGAACGGCGCCGTGGTATTGATAGGCCAGGGGTTTGAACGGCGCCGTGGTATTGATAGGCCAGGGGTTTGAACGGCGCCGTGGTATTGATAGGCCAGGGGTTTGAACGGCGAAGAGTTTGGGTTGGATACTACCACCAGCGGATTCTGACACGACTCAAAGACATATTTCGAATTTTAAGAATTAAATGTACCAGTCAAAAAATGAGCCTCTCACATTGACCAAATACATTTTACTGCCAGTCGACAACAAGCATGGATAAAGTTAAGATTTCATGTCCTGCGTTGTCAAAACATGGAACAAAACAATTTTGTAGTTAATGTTGTTTAGAGTTACACAATCAATGAGTTTCATTTTATTCATTTAGTTCTTTATGGTCTTTCTATTTGTCGCTACGTTTCCAACCTGTTTAAGCAAGCATAAATTGTTTCGTAGACTATTTCGAGTACATCTAGAGTATCTAGAAACATTTTAACTGACAAACAACATTGACTCGATGTTTGAAGACACCAACATCGAAAAGAATGGTGTATGTGTATGTCACTTTGTGTTACAGGCCTTTAGCAATTTCGGGAAACCCACGAGCTGTGCGGAGATAAATACACTAGCGGAAAATATCGCCTGTGCATCACTGACTATATGTCTTGAGCCTCTTGGTTGCATTGTAATGTATCATACATTTATATACTACACTTACCCAGGTACTAGTATCTGCTCAGTTGCGGTTTATTTGCAATTGTTCCCCGACGAGTGGATCCGTTTGCATTCCAGATATCCTTGTCAGCTCCCTGGGGAGTATAGAACTTAAGCTGCCCCTACGGGCGCTAGAGCATTTTTACATTTTTAGTTCATCTGACATTACATCAAGACCAGCAGTTGTGTGAAGATCACTGGGAAGCTTGACCACTGTTGCGGGTTGGTGAATGTTATTATCATTGAAGTTTTTCCTATCACCACTGCCATCACATTTTGTATTGCAAACTGCCATTGAATAGTGTACGTCTACTCGATTGCATACTGCCTTTGAATAGTGTACGTCTACTCGATTGCATACTGCCTTTGTAATTGCTGTGCAGTATTTTTTAATAATCTGTAGACCTCGTAAATTGTGTAAAACAATTGTTGATTGTATGCCATTTGCTGGTTGATTGAAATAAGTTGTTTTAGTTTTATATCAAATGGTCGGTCCCTAATCACTCACTCGCCCAATCAGGGTAAGGATACGAAGACAAAATACTGCAAAACTTTGCAAACTCACAATAATTCTCATAACGGATGGAATTGCTCAAAGTTTCTCCAGAAGCGATGAATCAGTTTTGTTGTTCGACCACACAACTTTCATCAATTATATATGATAAAAATATATTTATCCTATAGAAAGTCAGCAATCACAATACCTGATACAGTATGCTGACATTGAATGTTGTTGCTGTTATATAATATGTTGAATAAATTAACCCGAAACATCTCTTGTTAATTATGCAGATTTTCAAACACACTATATAATCACCTGCTGGCTAATAGCAGTTACATTATTAATTCACAAAGATTTGTGTTGAATCCAATTTGAGCTTTAAAAAGTTTGTTTCGAATCTTTACATTTCGCAAATAGAGAGAGTACTGAATACACAATGCAATTTAGAACGTGGTCAAATGTAACAACTGTTACTTTGTAATAACACTTTCTTATTAAAGTACAGATTCTCGTACTTCTGTTGGTTGAGTCTCGTCCGGGATTCGAACCCACACTGCCAGAGTGAGGCACCTAATCGCAAGCACACAAAGTCAGCTATCTAACCAGCCACAAAGGCTTCCACAAAATGAAAGTCCGACAACTGGTAGTCCGGATCACGTACTTTGTGTACCCCTCTTACATGTGTTAATTGGGGATAACACTTTCTCAGTAAAGTAAAGAACAGTAAAGTACAGATTCTCGTACTTTTTGGGGTTGAGTCCCGCCCGGGACAGTTAGACAGAAGGTGTTATCCCAAATATAACAGTTGTTACAGAGAGAGTACTGTACTTGATTTGAAACAAATTCATTTCAATCATAATATTGACACGAAAGAAGACACCGACACATTCATTTATTCTGATAGATTACGTTCAGTTTAAAATATATATCCATCTTTGCTGGATAATTTATAATCACAGGACATTAACTGCATCTACGAACACTAAAGACAGTCATGAATCCACGAGAAACACGTTCACAACACACTAACGAGGAGAAACTAATTCACTACGCTGAATGAGTATGGTGTGAGCATATATATACATATATCTTTTAGATAAGCTAACTTCAGTAGTTTCTGAGAAAACTTGTTCCCATCACAGGCACGATGCACAAATAACATGGATCAAGGGCCATAACTCGTTCCCATTGCAGACACTATGCACTTAGTTGAAAAGAACGGAGCAAGGGCCATAACTCTGTAAAGAAAAGAATTACAGCACGAATATCGAACTCAGTCTTGACAAGTATTTCTTAGATATGCATGCAAACGTTCATTCATGTAACGTCAGTAGTTTCGGAGAAAACTTGGCCCCATTTCACGCAGTTTGCACTAAGTTGCACGGAGCAATGAATTTTCGAACTCAATGAAGATCATGACCAGTAATGTCAGTGTGTAAAATTTCATTTATCTAACTTAAATACTTTTTGAGAAAATGTGTCCCCTTTGAGAAGCGGACGGACGGACGAACTCCGTTCCTATATGCCCGGGGGACAATAAAGTATGGTTGATTTTTTTTTTTTTTTGTTTTTTTTTTTTGTGTACACACACAATAAGTTCACATACAATAAAGAATATTGTTTCGCCCTGAACTATTATAACGTCAAAGCAAGCGATCGATAATCAATATCAAAAAACTTTCCATAAAGTTTCTTTCCAGTCAATCGGGAACGTTGACACCCAGCCAACCAAATCACCTAGCCATTACGCCGTCTCTTATAACAAGCATAAGCTGCTAGACGCCAAATCTGACACCGAATCCCGACTGGTATAAGGGTCTGCAATCGGGTGTTGATCTTACGTCACATCAATAGCTGTATATGCCTCGACAACAAGGAATAATGGGTCCAATAAGTTCGGAGCCAAGGCGGAAATGAAGAACACTTACAATAAAGAGAAACGAACTGCAAATAATGTTACATTTGTCCGTTCCTCTATGATTAATATTGTGTTAGACGAACGTCTGTATGTCTGGTGTCTGGCCTGTCACGTTTTGCCACGGAGCTCTTTGCAGACTTACCGGTAGTTGCACATGGGATGAACATTTGAAGGATGGTTTCCCGGAATGCTGCACTGAGGATAATGTAGAAGATGAAGTTGCTGAAGTTGCTGAGCAGTTCACAAACATTTCCAACTCTGCCAACGAGGAAGAACAGGAAGTGCTCTCGGGCGAAGATGCCATAGTCATCATTGAAGTTGTTGATGATCGCGTTGGTGTTGGTAGGCAGGGCGAGGATGACGTAGACAACGGTGGACGCCATGATGGTTGTTGTCGTCTGCATCTCTCTCTTCTGCGCCTCTCCAGACTTCTCACTGGTCTTCATGGATTGTCTCCCCTTGGTGTGACGTCGGAGTGATATCACAATCAGAAGGTTGAAGACAAGGCAAGCAAAAAGCATGAAATACACAAATATGAATTTACTCGCCTTGCTGGAGTTTTCAAAATGAGCTCTATCCTTGAGATACATTAACGTATGCTGGAATCTATAGACTGTGGTGTTGTCAGCCGCCATGTAAGATATGACGATATATTTCATGGGACTAAAAATATGTGCGGCGAAGCCAGCCGCCATTATTAGTGCGCAGACGACACCTGGGTTTTTCACGAGACGCATACTTTTGGCTTGTAGAGGAAACGTCACAGCAATGAATCTCTCAGCTGACACCAAGCACGTGTAACAGAACCCAACTCTCCTGAGAGCCACAGAGGCGTAGTTGGAGACGTAGAGGCCGTAGATGAGGTAGATGCGTCTTGTCATGGCCTTGTCTCCGTATACCAAGTCCATGATATTGGCAATGATGACAGTGGTGAGGAAGAGGACCTCGGAAATGCACAGAGCCAGCAGGATGGTGCTTGTCGGGCTTCTCATCCGTTTCTGACAGAACACGACGACGTTGCAGATGTTGGTGGCGAGAGCGATAACAGTCAGGGGGAATTGGATGTATCCAGTCACAGTGAGAAAGGATTTGTAGGTAGCCTCTGTCACACTGCCAGAATGGATCAAAGCGAATGGCGGGGCTGGACTGGATTGATCTACTTCCTCGATTGCAGTGTTGTTACCGTTGTCGTTCATGGTTTTGTTGGTGACGATGCTGTCCCTGACATCCAGGTCGGTAACATTATATCTTGTGTCAGGAGTCATATCTGTGAAGTCACGCACTGTTGTCATATCTGTGATGTCACGCACTGTTGACGTTGACGTTGATGCCGACTCTTTTGCCGTTGATGATACAGTTTTCATAACCATCACAGCATACAACCATTTCAGTTCCATTTTTAAAATCCTGTATAACAGCTGTCTATAGACACGTCGTATCCCACACGTCTTGCGTCCGCAAATGTTGACAATACGACTATCTTCTATCTACCCTCTTTTAATGAATCAGTCCATAGACTTAGAATTACCATACACCTCTGATCCAGTCTGGAGTGTGAAGCAAAGGAATATAATAATGCCAGCACATCCAGCAGTTATATGATATGGCCAATCAGTGTTGATGGCTTTGTTTGGTTTGTTATTAAGACGTGGCAAATCGTGGGATTTATCTGAACAGAAAGGGAAACAGTGTTTGCCTTTCGTACCTCATTAATCACCGGTCATGATTGATACACTGAGGGTTCTGTTGTTGGTGTTAAACCAGAAACCTTCAGGATAATGTTTATATTCAGCGTCCTTAATGAGGGCTCACGCGGGTAATAATGGTGATAGATGGATAACAAAAAAAGAAGGCCGATGTGTAACATGACAATGGGAGAGTTAGTGAGTGAGTGAGTATGGTTTTACGCCGCTTTTAGCAATATTCCAACAATATCACGGCGGGGGACACCAGGAATGGGCTTCACACATTGTACCCATGTCGGGAATCGAACCCGGGTCTTTGGCGTGACGAGCAAACGCTTTTACCACAAGGATACCGCCCCAACATGACAATGAACAGAACATGTTGACGGTGTATTGAAAGGGTACAAACAACCATGAAAGACGAAAGGAGTGTGCGGTTAACAAATGGACATTTGGGATGACTTGATCAATAGTGAATCAGGACCCCACGATTGGTGAAACATTCATTTATATGGCGAGGCATGGCACGGATCAGTCTACCAATGACAATCTAAGGAAGTCTTGTCCACTCCCCTGGCAGTGACTGGCTCAGTTCGGCTAACGTAGTGGGCAGCCATTGACCATCGGCGGGTACGTTTCCCGATCAGGTCCCAGGACACATGGCTGACCACATTGTGGTGATGTTTTGCTGATGGAGGTAGTAAGCTACGATACGTGCAGGGTGGAAACGAGCGTTATCTTCTTGACAGACAAAAGATGGACCAGCAAATGGCACAACTATTGGCGACGGTATATTGTCTCGGTAGCTCTGTAACATTGACCCTTTCATGGACAATGCAGTAACGTTCTGACAGTCATATTGATGCCGTCCCATGTCATTGCAGACCCATCCCCAAATCCGTCATGTTGCCTCAAGTTGACGTTCGCCTAGCCAGAAAGGCAAGAGTGAATTTGGTCTCCTCTGAAACATTACACGAGACCATCGTCGATTCCTCCAGTTTGTACGCTCTAAACGACATTGGCGTCAGGCTAGAATGTGTCGATATGTTAACGGTGGTGCAACACATGGTCGCCGAGAATGCAGACGATTTCTTATGGTGAGTAACTTAACCTTCCGTGGCGTGGAGCAAGGGAGTTAGTGAGTGAGTGAGTTGGATTTAACGCCGTTTTTAACAGTATTCCAGTTATATCGCGGCGTGTCAGAGTAATGTGGGAGGAAAGCCCGAAGTGATGCAGGTATCAGAAGTTTACCACTTCGGTAAAACCCACGAACACGGGTATAGTGCTGACAAACCTAGAAACAAAATCGGAGCGAACCGGGATTCAAACCCACAATCATAGGTTTCATAGGGGACGCAAATCTGCACAGCGAATCGCTGCGCCTTAGACGACAGGTCTACCCGTGTTCCCTGGAGCAAGTGAATAGTGATTTGATTGCCTGTTTGCCTGTTTCTTACAGACTGGTTCCTGATTAATCGGTCCTGGACTTGTGACACTGACCTACGGAGCCCTATGCCAGGCATATCATTAACATCTTGTGTCTGCAGAAACCTGTTCCAAAGTCTGCAAATCACAGACAGGGACACATTGAACATATTGAAGCTTGCCAATGGCCTCAATGTGTTCATCACCTTGTAGACGACGCAATCTCAATCTGATCACGAATACTGCATTAAAACAAGAGCAGAGAGCTTACATGTTACTGTGGATCATGTTTGTTTGTTTGTTGTTTAACGCCACACTCAGCAATATTCCAGCTATATGACGACGGCCTGTAAATAATCGAGTCTGGACCAGATAATCCAATGATTAATATCATGAGCATCGATCCACGCAATTGGGATCGATGACATGCATCAACCAAGTTAGTGAGCCTGACCACCCGATCCCGTTAGTCGCCTCTTACGGCAAACATGGGCTGTTGAAGACCTATTCTACCCCTGATCTTCACGGCTCGCTGTCTTGGCTGCGTGAAGAGGGGGCAAGGGCCCTGAGCTGATGATGAGCCTAACCAGCCTGACTGTGCCAGGATCACCCAACCTTTTTTGCTGCATTGTTTATTTTAATCTGTAAATAATAATAATAATAATAATAATAATAATGAAAAACATGGCACATATACGGATCTCGCTTTCGAAATGTCACGCTTGCAAGTACCAAATTGTCCGACTCCTCATTGTTCTCGGTGCCTTAGGTTTGGTACCTCTCAATCTGTTGACTGACATTAGGAGAGTACCCGGGTTTGATACCAGAAATATAGCCCTTCTGACAATCTGGGCAATGCCGAAGCCTGCAGTGTTGGGGAGTCTTCACATTCTCCGAAAAGTTCTGGCCGCGCTTCCTGGGAGAAGTCCCATTCGCTGTCTGGGCTGCGTGTAGAGGGGGCAAGGGCCCTCAGCTGATGATGAGCCTAACCAACCTGACTGTGCCAGGATCACCCAAACCCTCTTTGCTGCATTTCTTATTTTAATCTTATTTTAATAATAATAAAAATAATAATAATAATAATAATAGGACCCAAAAGTATGCAAACTTGTTTCACTATGTGATAGTGGCAAATGCTCATAATATAGTCGGACACATACAATCGACACCACAGTGAATATGGCAAGGGTTTTGTCACTTTTATTTCCTAGTACCATTACCGTGGAACGCTATCCCGAGAACGTCATTACGAGACGTTAACACTTTAATCAGTGGCCCTGACACTACAAATAAATAAACATTAAACTTCGACTCAAGATTTTGTTAAAGTTTGTTTTCTTGCCTCAAGCTGGATCCAGCGAATTAAACGCTTACACATCTGATCGACATGTATCAGACAGGTCATTTCGAAGATGTTTTACATTTCGTATTTACATGCTGAAACTACACAAATATTAGATATAATATGTAATTTTACACCCATAGATGTAACCTGAAAACTGTTTTATACACCAGCTCTCAACATTTAAATTCTTTCATCAGTTTGCGATTGTATTGTCAAAAGTAAAAGATTCCAATAGTAGTTATATAATCTAAATATATTTTTGATAAAATATTGAAATTGACATACTGCATTCATTTAGCTCTGACATCACCAGCTCCAGCTTACGGTTACAGGTTAATTTTATGTATTGTACATATATATTCAACATGAACATGTTCATATGCATTCACTTGCTGTAATCTGTTTTTTCCCCTGGAGCGGTATTTGTATAAATAAAAGCGACAAGCCCATATTTAACCAAACACAGGGTCGACCGTACGATTCCCACTATATAAGCATGGTTTTGCTTGTATGCCCATCTGGAATGCATTTATGAAATAAGACTTTGTTAAAGCCGTAAATTGCCTTGATTACAGCTTGACTGAAAATGATAATGCATTTTTTGTTGTTTTTCTGGCCCCAGAGTACAAGAAATGGTGGTATCACAGACACATAATCACAAACAGCCCAGGTTTTGTTGGTATAAGCAAGGTAATGAATGTATGAGTCTTGTCCCATAATGACTTCTGTCAGGGAGAACTAACCTGTCAATCATTTCATTGTTATAACATGATCATATATTTTGATACATAAAAATATAGCTTATTTCATCGACATAATCCATAATATAGTAGTCAATTAGCTCCGTCGTACCGGTAAAACCCATTAATCGACAGTTATTGATATGACCAGACACTGCTTCCTGAGACATGAGTTTCGCGTGACTCTTCTTTTTCATTGGAAGTTTCCCTTGCAAGGTCTAAATTGGCTCGTACTGATTGGGTCTAACATTAATGGTTATATTAATGATAATGCCATGACGGAATGTGCCTCGAGGAATGTGGCACGTTTGTTTGCAGTTGGTGCCAACATGGACATAGTATCTCCAGACAGAGTCTGTCTCCCAGACCCTAGAGAATAAATTAAAAAGGAGTCCAAATGAAGTCTAGAATGATTTGGCAAGTCGAGATTGCCTCAGGTCAGCTGAAATTAAGAATTGTTCTGGGTTTCTTTTCGATTTTATTATTTGGATTTTGTAGATATATATTTTTAAATAAGATAACTCTTTTCTGGGACTAAATGTCAATCTACTCCAGATATTAAGCATATTGAAAACTCCATGAATAAATATCCATGCAAATTACAAAACTGGGCAAAAATGAGGTTATTACATTCAATCTGAGCAAAACCACCGCACATGAAATCACAGATGAATAGTCTTTAATGACACATCTATAGAAATGGTAGACTGTCACAAGCACCTTGTTGTGACATTATCCCAAGACATAATGGTACGATCACACCAACAACATTCTTTCAAGTTGGTTGGTTGGTTTGTTGTTTAAGGACCGCACTCAGCAATCTTCAAGCTATATGACGGCGGTCTGTAAATAATCGAGTCTGGACCAGACAATCCAGTGATTAATATGAGCATCCATCCACGCAATTGGGATCGATGACATGCATCAACCAAGTCAGCGGGCCTGACCACCCGATCCCGTTAGTCGCCTTTTACGGCAAGCATGGGTTACTGAAAACCTATTCTATTCCGGAATCTTCACGGGGCTTAAACAAAAAGAAATACCATTGACCATTTGTTTCGTACAGATCTATTTATTACAAACCCATGTTCGACAAACAATCTATAGTACACCACATACTGTATCCATCTTTTCCGAGACATAAGATATGGACACATGGTATTTTGGCTTTATTGTTGCACTATAAGGTTTTCTTATTTTTT